CACACCAACACAACACACACAACACACACACACACACACACACACACACACACACACACACACACACACACACACACACACACACACACACACACGCACACACACACACACACACACACAAAACACTACAAGAATCTTGACAGTTATAGAACATTATTAAAGGCAAAGGAGAGGTGAGAAAAAGATGTCATTTGATTTTTGAACAGAGAAAATAAATGTCTTTATTTCCAATAAACATATAAAAAGATTTCAATAATATAAAAGTCTCTCAAAACACAAATATTTCATAATATTATATAAATTTACAATGGTTCCAAGTCAACACACGTACAATAATAATGAAACTGAATGACCATCTATTTACATTCTGAGGTGAATATATTAAATAATATCTAGTAAATCACACCGCGGCTATGTTTGAACTTTTGAGAATGCAGCAATGAAAAATCCAATGGTATCACTGTCAACGCTGCCCTCAATTGGTGAGCTGACCATAAAACTAGGACCGAACCTTTGTACTTTGTTACACTGTTCTTCATTCAAGCCACAGTTCGGCAGCCCTGGCAGCCCTAGTTTAGGCTGTGCATCCACTAGCTTGATATCTGCAAAATTATCCAAAACCCACTTCACCATTTCCTCATTTTCTTCAGGCACAATGGTGCATGTACTATACACAAGTGTCCCTCCTGGTTCAAGGAGTTTTATACCATTCCTCAACAGCTTCCTCTGTATCACAGGGAATGACTGTATCTCCTTAACACTGGCTTTGGTCTGAAGCTGTGGACGTTGTCCTAAAGCACTGCATGGAGCATCAAGAAGTATCCATTTAAATGAGGCTGATTTATAAGGAGGAATCAAACATTTAAGACTGTTTTCATGTGGTTGGACATCTGAGATGATGCTTTTATCAGTTGGCTCTACTTCCTCTAAAAGTTTAGTACTGTCATATTTAATAGCAATTACATTTTTCAAACCTAGCCTCTCTGCATTTTCAGTAATCTGATTAATCTTATTTTGGGATCGATCTATGGCAATGACAGATCCTGTGCCACTCATCAGAGATGCAATGTGTGTTGATTTCCCTCCTGGTGCTGCACACATATCTAAAACTACTGCATGTTCACTAGGTCTAAGAATGTGACTACATAATACTGAAGGCAAATTTTGTAAAAAGAGAAAGTCTTGATGAAAATTACCTAAACTTGGGCAATCAAATATCTGGTCTTTCATTGAAACTGCTAAGCCGGAAGGCTTCCCTTTGGTAAAGAGTTCTTTTCTGGCCTGCATTGCAATTCCGTTTCCAATGAACATTTTCCTGCCATCAAACCCCTTACTTCCTCTAAGGCACTTGTCATCCAAATCTACATAAACAGCCACAAGCTCACCAACACCCACTCCAGGGGTGACTCCCAAGACACCTGGAGCATAAACTTCTGCCCCACGTAAGACGGCAGACCCACACATCTTCCCTACGATAACTTCTTTCTTGGCTGGAGTAACAATCTGCACACCGCGAGTCTCCACCACTAACAAGTCAGGCAATATGTGATGAGGATACACAGCAGGAACATAAAAATGCCCTTTAAATTGTTTCTTCATTTCCTCTGTAACTAAGGTCAGTGCTTCACTGATTGTTTTTCTGGATAAATTCACTCTGAGTGTAGTATATCTTGGTGGTAATGACAACAGATTCAAGTCTTGACTACTGTAAAATGTTCTCAAGCATTTCTGTTTCTTGTCTGGTTCTTCACTATGACGTTCTGCAGGTCTATGAAACTTCATTAAGAAATTTGTAACCTCTGTTAGCAGAGGATTGAAAGCACCAGGAGTAAGAGTTGGTTGTGTGTCAGGCTCCATGGCATATCTATAGGAAAGAGAAAGAAAAAAAATACAAAATATTATCAAAGTTTTAACTAGAATGAGAAAAATATAATAGAAACGAAATAACAGCAATAATTAACCTGTTTAATGGACTGACTGTATATGTTTATATGTAAAAAAATAAAAAAAGGTGTCATGTACCCAACAGCATAGTGTAGAGTACAATAAATAATCTAATCTGGCAAAATTATTACTGTTGCATTAAAAGGGCATATTTTTACAGCATCTTAAATGCAAAATGACCAGATACAAGTATACAGTCATATAAAAGAATATAACTTATTTGTACTAAAAACAAGTCCAGTTTAGGAATGAATTAAAAACTTGGATATGGCAGTTTAAAAATGGTTATATCCTCACAAACAGGTAATACTTGAAACTTTCTACAAGTATTATATACATGTTTAGTTGCACTCTAATTATATATTTGTTATTTACTTACATCAGGTTGGCTCAAACATGAACCACTAAAAGGTTAGCATACATTGTGCATCTGGCTAACATTGGTATAAAAATAGCAATAGTGAGGAAATAACAACAATGAAATAACAAAGTCATGATGAAGTTATTAATGATGACATTAATAACTGTAATTACAAAAGGAGCTTTATCAATAACAGTGTTCAATGTGTTTAACATTCACAAGCATACAGGTTCTGCTTTTTCTGCTTCTATTCATTAAGTCATTTCTACATTATTACTATCATTATCATTACATAAAATGATTAGTATTATTATTAGTAGTAATATTTCCACTGCTATCATCATTATCATAGCCATTTTTTTTTATAGCAATATGTTCAAATGATATTGTCATCATTATCATTTCCACTAAAGTCATTATATTTATGAATCAATGCATTCCAGTTACTATATATAATATTATTAACAATTATCATCATCCTTTATCATTACCTATCATCCACTGCAATATTTTATCCTTATTTTCAACTTGTCATTACTGAGACTATTGTGTGGAAACTCCGCAAACTCCCACATTCTTGGCCCCAACAGAAGGGGAGGGCATGAAAGATACCAGGGAAAATGCCAGGTAAAATGTAAATAATATACACAGAATCGGTTACTATATTCTTTAATGCAGGAGGCCGTGCCCCCTGCAACCCCCCCGGGGGAGCAGCCACCCCCCTAACCCCCACCCAGGAAAACACAGAATCCTCCATGTATTCACAATAGGAGAGAGCATACGTATGTGGGGGTTGGTGGGGCTTCTACACAATAAAACCTATACATTTGCATTGTAGACAGTGAGAGGAATCGAGCGATTCTCAAATCGTTGTGATCCATTGTGCAGTTATATTAGAAAAAAAATTACCCAGAACTAGTAATAACTGAATCTGAAAAGATGACAACCGCTGACCGGAAGGGCCACGGAGATTAACATACATTGGTCAGGGCCACACAATGAAAAAGGTTGGGAACCACTAATCTATCCCAATTACTTTCAAGGTAAATCTTACTAACACACCCATGCACGAAGACATAATGCAAGAGATACACCAATTACATTTCTTGAACTGAGAAGGCATTCAGTCTCATTTGCACCTTATATCTAAATTTGTCATAATGAACTCCTTTCAAGTATATTTTGACTAGTTGCAGCTTAAGACGTCGCTATAAGGAACCTATACCCCACTATCTTGTCTTATCCGTGGAGGAGAATGACACTTTATTCTAAATTATGTAATTCAGGAACTTTTCTTACCTTCCAGTTGTGAATTTGTGATCGTGTGTCTGTGTTTTGTGTT